GTCGGGACATCGTAAAGACATGACACCCATCGATCATGTGACCAGTGTTTCAGGAGGGTTTGTGTTTCTGTGTGGACAGGAAACGATTTGATTGTGGAAACAGAAACGACGTGTCTGGAAGCAGATCGTTTTGGATTTGGTGACTGAGTGATTTGGTGATTCAGCGATACGGCTATAAGGCGATTCAGCGATTCAGCGATATGGTGATTCAACAATATGGCGATACAGCGATTCGGTGATATGGCAATTCAACGATACAGTGATTCAACAATTTGAGGATACAGCGATTATTTGATACAGCGATTCAGAGATTCAGCGATACAGCAATACGGTGATTCAACGATACAGTGATTCGGTGGTTCAGCGATTCAGTGATTCAACAATACAGCAATTCCGCGGTTCAGCGATATGGCAATTCGGCGATACGCAGATTTGTTTCAGTGTAAACAGGGTCTTAGTGACCTGAGTGTCACCGCCAAGTTTCTGTACGTTTTATTTCTGTACGTTTTATTTCTGTACGTTTTATTTCTGTACGTTTTATTTCTGTACGTTTTATTTCTGTACGTTCTGGACACACTTCCATGTTCACAAACTGCATGAAAGTTCCAGAGACCAAGTGACATTTCCACTAATCATCATCATCATCATGTGTCCTGTTCTGTTGAGTTCATAAACTTAAACACTGATGAGGTTTAATGTCACTGAAGTAAAAGTTCACACTGGGATGTTCGACGAATAAATCTGAACGTGTCACATCAAAAAACTCTTGAAATCATTAAAGGTTTGATAAATCACAGACGCTCGGAGTTTGTTTCCTCACGACATTTATTACAAAACTCTGTGTCCTGGAAAAACCTCACGTCTCCTCCACACGACCTGCAGAAACAGCTCCACCGCGTTTTTAAACTCCACACTCTTCACTACGATCATCGCGTCCCGGAGCCGTCGGTATCTACTCAACGAAAGGGAAAAGAGCCGTTCCACCTCATGACATCACAAGGTGGAACAGAACAGAGAACGTCTCGCACAAGGGCACAGCGACAGAGAGCAGGAATCAAACCGGCAACCTCCAAGTCAGAAGGTAAATACAGACAAAACTACTTTAGTCCTGGTTTAGTCCTGGCTGAGTCCTGGCTTAGTTCTGGTTTAGTCCTGGCTTAGTCCTGGTTTAGTCCTGGTTTAGTTCTGGTTTAATTCTGGTTTAGTCCTGGTTTAGTTCAGGTTTAGACCTGGTTTAGTCCTAGTTTGGTCCTGGTTTAGACCTGGTTTAGTTCTGGTTTAGACCTGGTTTAGTCCTGGTTCAGTCCTGGTTTAGACCTGGTTTAGTTCTGGTTTAGTCCTGGTTTAGTCCTGGTTTAGTCCTGGTTTAGACCTGGTTTAGTCCTGGTTTAGTTCTGGTTTAGACCTGGTTTAGTTCTGGTTTAGACCTGGTTTAGACCTGGTTTAGTTCTGGTTTAGACCTGGTGTAGACCTGGTTTAGTCCTGGTTTAGTTCTGGTCTAGTCCTGGTTTAGTCCTGGTTTAGTCCTGGTTTAGTTCTGGTTTAGTCCTGGTTTAGTCCTGGTTTAGTCCTGGTTTAGTTCTGGTCTAGTCCTGGTTTAGTCCTGGTTTAGTCCTGGTTTAGTTCTGGTTTAGTCCTGGTTTAGTCCTGGTTTAGTTCTGGGTCAGGTTCAAATGCCTGGGATGTTTCTCTTGTATGTGTGGATCCAGTGCAGTGTTTACTCTCGGGCGTTTCAAGCATAAACAAACAGGACCAGACCAGGATCATAACCAGATCTGAGGGTCCAGATCAGATCTGAGGGTCTAGACCAGGATCATAACCAGATCTGAGGGTCCAGACTCTGATTCGACTCAAATGAAAGACAAAATATTTAAAAAACAGAGAGATGGAGGGAGGAGGAAAGAAAAAAAGAGAGAAAGAAAGAAGAGGAACGAAGAAAAAGGAGGAAGAGAAAAGAGTGTAAACCTCAAAATGAGCGAGGGATGGAGAGAGAGAGGAGAGAGGAAGAGAGGAGAGAGGAAGAGCTGAGCCAGCGAGAGAGAGAGAAAGAGAGGGATGAAAAAGAGGACAGGAAACATCATATTTAAGAAGAAGAAGAGTTTAGAGAAAAATGTTAATGAGGAAGATAAAAAAAAGAGAAGGAATGGAGTGGAGAAGTAAAGAAGGAAAGGAGAAGGAGAGGGGGAAGGAAAGAATGAAGAAGAGGAGGGAGAAGAGAAGGAAAGGAGTGGGGAAGGGAGGAAGGAAGGAGAGGAGAAAGGAAAAAAGAAAGGACAGAAAGAAGTAAAGGAGGAAAGGAAGGAAAGAGAAAAGGAAATCAGAGAAGGAAGGACAGAAGGAAAGGAGAGGAGGAAATGAAAGAAGGAAGGAGAGGGGGAAGAAAAGGGGGAAATTAGAGGAGAAAATGAAAGAAGGAAGGAAAGAAGGAGAGAAGGAAGAAGAAGGCCAAATGAGAAAAGGAAAGGAGACAAGGGAAGGAGAAGAGGAAGGAGAGGAGGAAGGAAAGAAGAAAGGAGTGAAGGAAGTACAGGAGGAAAGAAAAGAAGGAAGGAGAGGAGAAAGGAAAGAAGGAATGAGAAAAGGAAAGAAAAGGAGGAAGGAGACAAGTAGAGAAGGAAGAAAAGGGAGAAAGGAGAGAAGGAATGGAGTGGAGAAGTAAAGAAGGAAAGGAGAAGGAGAGGAGGAAGGAAGGAAAGGAATGGGGAAGGAGAGAAGGAAGGAAGGAAGGAAGGAGAAGAGAAAGGAAAAAAGAAAGCAGAGAAAGAAGTAAACGAGGAAAGGAAGGAAGGATAGAAATGAGGAAGGTGAAGAGAAAGAAAAGAAGGAAAGAGAGAAGGAAGGACAGAAGGAAAGGAGAGGAGGAAATGAAAGAAGGAAGGAGAGGAGGAAAGGAGAGGAAAGAGGAGAGAGGAGAGGAGGAAGAAGAGGGGGAAATTAGAGGAGAAAAGGAAAGAAGGAAGGAATGAAGGAGAGAAGGAAGAAGAGGCCCAAATGAGAAAAGGAAAGGAGAGGGGGAAGGAGAGGAGGAAGGAAAGAAGAAAGGAGTGAAGGAAGTACAGGAGGAAAGAAAATAAGGAAGGAGAGGAGAAAGGAAAGAAGGAATTAGAAAAGGAAAGTAAAGAAAAGAAAAGAAAAGGAGGAAGGAGACAAGTAGGGAAGGAATAAGAGGGGGAAAGGAGAAAAGGAAAGGAGAGAAGGGAAGGAGACGGGAAGGAGAGAAGGAAAGGAGAAAGAAAGGGGAAAGGAAAGAATGAAGAAGAGGAGGGAGAAGAGAAGGAAAGGAGTGAGGAAGGAGAGAAGGAAAGGAGAGAGGGAAGGAGAGGAGGAAGGAGAGGGGAAGGAAAAAATGAAGGAGAGGAGGAAGGAAAGAAGGAATTAGAAAAGGAAAGAAAAGAAAAGAAAAGGAGGAAGGAGACAAGTAGGGAAGGAATAAGAGGGGGAAAGGAGAAAAGGAAAGGAGAGAAGGGAAGGAGACGGGAAGGAGAGAAGGAAAGGAGAAAGAGAGGGGAAAGGAAAGAATGAAGAAGAGGAGGGAGAAGAGAAGGAAAGGAGTGAGGAAGGAAAGGAGAGAGGGAAGGAGAGGAGGAAGGAGAGGGGAAGGAAAAAATGAAGGAGAGGAGGAAGGAAAGAAGGAATTAGAAAAGGAAAGAAAAGAAAAGGAGGAAGGAGAAAAGTAGGGAAGGAATAAGAGGGGGAAAGGAAAGGAAAGAACGAAGAAGAGGAGGGAGAAGAGAAGGAAAGGAGTGGGGGAAGGAGAGAAGGAAAGGAGGGAGGAAGGAGAAAAGGAAACGAGAGAAGGAGGGAAGGAAGGAAGGAAGGAGAGGAGGAAATCAGAGGAGAAAAGGAAAGAAGGAAGGAAAGAAGGAGAGAAGGATAGACATGAGGAAAGGAGTGAAGGAGGTAGGAGACAGAGCTCGTGCTGAATCCTCGCGCTTTAAACGTGCGGAGACAAGTCCGAAAGAAAAGAGACAAAAGAAAGAAAAGAAACACAGAGAGAAGGAAGGAAGAGAGGAAGAGAGAGAAAGAAAGAAAGAAAGAAAGAGAGAGTTTACAGACACGTGCGAAGGTAAAACATTAAAGAAATGTTCCGTAGTGTCAAACAGAACCAGCGGCGCGCGCGGAACAAAGCGCATGAGCACAGACACACAGAGTCCAGGTTTAGTCCAGATTCAGTCAAGATTTAGTCCTGGTTTAGTCCTGGTTTAGACCTGGTTTAGACCTGGTTTAGTCCTGGTCGTGGTAAGAAGAAAAGTGTCTTGCACAAGGACACAACAACAGTCAGGAAACATGAACAGGAATCAAACCAGCAACTTCCACCCGCACAAAGCAACTTTTACACTTTGACTTAAGGAGCCTGTTTTAGTCCCGGTGTAGTCCCGGTTTAGTCCTGGTTCAGTCCTGGTTTAGTCCTTGTTTAGTCCTTGTTTAGTCCTGGTTTAGTCCCGGTGTAGTCCTGGTTTAGTCCTGGTTTAGTCCTTGTTTAGTCCTGGTTCAGTCCTTGTTTAGTCCTGGTTTAGTTCCTGGTCAGTCCTTGTTTAGTCCTGGTTTAGTCCTTGTTTAGTCCTGGTTTAGTCTGGTGTTTAGTTCTGGTTCAGTCCTTGTTTAGTCCTGGTTTAGTCCTGGTTTAGTCCTTGTTTAGTCCTGGTTCAGTCCTGGTTTAGTTCTGGTTTAGTCCTGGTTCAGTCCTTGTTTAGTCCTTGTTTAGTCCTGGTTTAGTCCCGGTATAGTCCCGGTGTAGTCCCGGTTTAGTCCCGGTTCAGTCCTTGTTTAGTCCCGGTTTAGTCCTGGTTCAGTCCTGGTTCAGTCCCGGTGTAGTCCTGGTTTAGTCCTTGTTTAGTCCTGGTCTTGGTCCTGGTCTTGGTCTTGGTCCTGGTCTTGGTCCTGGTCGTGGTCTTGGTCCTTGGTCTGGTCCTGGTCTGGTGGTGGTGGTCGGTCTTGGTCTTGGTCGTGGTCTTGGTCCTGGTCTTGGTCGTGGTCTTGGTCCTGGTCCCGGGACTGACCGTGAGCGCGCGCGGGCTCGTGGGGTGTCCGTGCAGCGCGAGGACGCGGAGGACGAGGAGCGCGAGGAGCCGCATGTCTC